TGGGGGGAGGCGAGGCAGGACGGAGGAAGGCTCAATTACCTCTCCCACTGAACTCTGGAGACTCGTTTTCCCTTCCATTGTTGTCAACATTGTTTCTTTATGCCGGAGAAACTGGATTACATTGCTAGCCGCGGAGCCTCTAGTCCAATATCCAGTCACAGTATTTCACGCTCAAACAATTACGTCTACAACAGTATTCAGAACATTTTAGAAAGAAGCTTGTTAATGTTATCCCCAGATGATAAAGAGATGATTATGTTTGTATAGAAGAACACGAGTAAATGGTAGAGTTTTCACCTGAGAGGAAGAAAATGGGTTTTTAGAGGAGATTTGGTGAACCAACAGGAACCGCTTGGTTGGGTTCGCTTCATTCTCGCTAAATGGAATCCGGGTGTAGGAATTTGTCAATAGAGCGAGATAAATGGGATTCGAAGGCAGCACAATCGGATTTCTTATATAAAATTATTGGTGCTAAAGGCGTGAAGTTGTTTCCTCCCTCAAGTAATGGATGTACTGTGCCACAAGAGGGTGTATTGCGCCAATGAAGTGTGTGTACTGCGCCATCATTATTTAAGGTCCACTCGTTTGTTTCTCCGTAATCATAAGGTTAACATTGGTTAACATTGTGGCCTTAATCGTTGTGTCGTAGCTTAATTGCGTTAGTCAGTTAGATACGCTCTCACCTCACCAGTTTAAAGGGTCAATTTACCGTTACGTGCCAGTCTGTGAAAAATTGTACGAAGACTGATATGTCGATCAGAAATTAAGGCGTGTGGGCGTGTGTGGGTGGGTTGGAGGGTGGGAGGCTATGGGGTGTTGGAGTGTGGGTGTATGGGGGTGTTGGAGGGTGTAAGTACAAGTGCTAGAGAGTGCTGGAGGGTAATGGTAAGTATGACCTGTCAGATCAGGTCACACTCTAAGATCCACGAATTAGGATAAGTTATACCATGTGATTTGCTTTTCTGAAAATACATACATACATACATACATACATACATACATACATACATACATACATACATACATACATACATACCACTGGGAGATAAATATCGGGCCATTGAGTTACTAAAGCCTTAAACATCTTCCGATAGTTGACTTAGTTCTCTCGTACCGTCGTGAGTGTGTGTGTGTGGGTTTTAAATTGTGTGCGTGTTTAGTGTGGAGTCGTGTGTGTGCATACAAAGACGTGCGTGGTATTTTAGGGTACACAGGCGGCACACACACACACACACACACACACACACACACACACACACACACACACACACAGTCCTCTCGTATAGCCATTATTTACAGAACATATATTGACATTGTTTATGGAGGTGGCTAAGATAGTCTTAGCATACACACACACACACACACACACACACACACACACACACACACACACACACACACACACACACACATACATACACACACGACCTCTTAAGTTGTGGTAACATGTCCTTTACGTGTAGATATCTTGTTTACAGGGTATATATTATGGTAAGGCAAGGGAGAGCGAGCGGTGCCGTCCCAGATGCTATTATTGTGTGGGGTTAGGTTAGGTTATAATCTGAGTGACGGTACTACTATAGTGTGCGGTCTACAAGGATACCTAACCTAGCCTAACCTAACCTAACCTAACCAGTGCCGGATTTAGGGGTGCTCAGCGTGGACGAACAGGGCCCTTATATTTTCGGGTCAAATACAGAAAAGTAAAATATAAAAAAAACTAGCAACTTTAGGTTTATTTTTATTACGTCACTGGCTAGATAGTGTTGTATGTAGCTAGGAAACGCCATTGGTTACTCAGATGTTGAAGGTACATAAAATATCCTATATAGGCCTGTAGAGTAATTTATGTTTTGTTTTTTAGGCTGTTTTTACTTCTGGCTGAATAGGACCCCAAGTCAAAATCCGGTGCTAATCCTATCCAATCCTACCCCCCAGTAATCGTGTTAGTGTAAATTAGTGTTGGTTTAACTCTTCTTTGTCGAATCGCCAATCTGTTTATTATTGTTTGTGTATACCTGCATTGTCTTGTGTACCTGTGAGGTCTGTGTACACTGATATATACCTGCGTTGCCTGTATACATGTTTAACTGAACCAATCACCAGCTTGTATGGCGATTTCTCTTAACATCCATATAACTGTCTCTCAAGTTTGCGTCTCTCTTGGTCATGACGCAAAACACACGGAGCGTCAGGAAGTGAGGGTGACACAAACTGCGTACCTAAGCTAGAGGAACTGGTCCCTGGGCACAGCGGTCGCGGGGCTAAAGGCATTAAGGTGTAATGAGAAGTGATGGTCGAGTCCAGAAATATTTGTTCAAAGAGAGGGGGGGCAAACCAGGATTAATAGAGTCTTAAATAGGTATAGTTTATCTGTTTTAGTTACAAAGTGTAGGAGGTGTAGTGAGGCAGTTAGAGTAATATACACCTCCATTAATAACAAAGTTTGGGTCAGTTAACACATTACCACGACTGTCACCTCCGTCAGTGGTGTTGGAGCAAGGTCTTGGTGGGGTTAGTGTGAGAGTCGCTACCACCACCAGTGCTCTACAGTTCATCATGATTTTTATGAGTATTTTGTCGAGTTTGTGTCTTGATGTATGTTAACAGTAGGAGGTGGAAGCAACATGACCAAGAAGGGAGTATGAAACAAATTTTAATATATCTTAGTACTAATTAATCGTTTCGTATATGTCTCAGATGTTTTTTATTTTAATGTGTTTTGTTTTTTTGGTTAAAGTCGATGTTTGGAGCCATTCATAATCAATAGTTGATATTCGAGGGGTAGGTGTGCTGCAAGTAAAGTAGGTATTGTATTTAATGATGAAAAAATCGAAACAAAACTGCGAGAGAGAGATAGAGGGTGAGGGGGGGGTGAGTAGGGTAGTATATAAGTGGTGGTTGAGCATCAGTGCCGGATTTAGACCTGTGGAGGAATATGGGGACTGGGCAGCCTCTTTGTGGAGGCCCCCCTCATTATAACTACCTAAGAGGGTGGGGTGGCGAGTGAAGCGAGCCTAAACATCTGGGAGTTCTGGGGGGCGCTGTAAGCCTCCCGGGAAATTTTGAAATTTGAACACTTCTTTGGAGAATTTTGAAGCCATATGCAGTTATATTGAGGAAATTAGAACATTGAGAAATTTTTAATTAACTATATATTTATTGATAGTGTACAAATTCCCAACGCACACACACACACACACAAAAGTGAGACATGACTGGAGTCATTCATGTGGTTTTGTGGGGTACAGGATGTTTGTGTTCACACTCAGGATGGGATGGAGAAAGGAAACTCACAATGTGCTCTCTGTGCTACATGTTGTATTGATGTATAATGCAGCTTGGTGCTGGGAAGGCATACAAGGGCGTGATGTAGAGAGAGCTGGCTGGTGAGGGTGCTTAGAGGAGGACCAGCTAGGGGTCGCTGCGCCGCCGGCGGAGCGAGGACGCCAGGCAGGCGGAGGAGGAGGTGTTGGCTGGTGTAAGGTAGAAAGAGAGAGATCACCACAAGGTCAGGTCTTAAATAGCGGGGGTTGGCGTGGCTTAGTAGTTGACCCCCGCTCCGTGGGCGGCGCTGGTTGACCTAGACCACGAGGCATACACTGGGGAATTCGTGGGGTCGGCTACGCAGCGACAAACAGCGTTTGTAGGGGAGAGAATCCACTACAGTTTCAAGTCGACCAGCCCTGATATAGCTACTACCGCACATGTGGAGGGAGGCCCCCAGATTGTGGAGGCCTCTGGGCACTGGGCAGCTGCCCACTTTGCCCACTCCTGAATCCGGCCCTGTTGAGCATGGTCCTGTGTGACTTTAACTGTCCTTAAAATGACTCCTTATTTGAAGTTAGGGAGCCATTTAAGGTAATACAAAATTCAGAGTAACACTCTCAGGTTACTGTGATATAGACATTCAAAACTTCCGTATGATGTGACTTAAGGGTAAAAAATTATTTTATTCCTTTACTGTATGTCAATTGTTTTATGACGTCACCAACATATGATCTCCTGATTGGCTGTTGATGTGCCGTCGAGACTGCTTCCTGCCACGAGTGAGTGATCGACCTGTTTAACAACAGAATTGTGATTTTCGCGTGGATTTTACTCGGCTAAAGGCCGTTCTACTGTTCAAGAGGCCATTTTGAATTCTTAATAGTTAACCAATGAATTCTATAGTAGGTTTTTGAATGCTTGTCAAATAATTACTTTTGGTAATTTAAATGAGTTTATTCCGAGTGAACACCAAGAGATTCGGATTTGTATTTGGGTGAAAGATGTGACAAATTTAGAGAAAGCTGCAACTCTACCTGAGAATTGTTCTTTGGTCCACATTCTTTCAAAGAGAAGTCAATAATGGACCGGTTCAACCCAGTCAGTGTCTCATTGTGGAGGAGAAAATGAAGGAAAGAGAGAGAGAGTAATGTACAAGTCGATGGTTAAGGGAAGGGGGTAGTTATCGGCAGAGAAGAGGTGATCTGGCTTTTGATAAATTTAGTGAAAAGTTGGGTAGGAGAACCATTATTTGTTTATATTGCGAGAAACCTGGATATGTTTTGGCCTATTTCAAACAACTGAAGAAAATCCGAACTTTTCCAGGTTCAGTGGAGTCTCAGGCTCTGGGGTGAACCAGCCCAGGGATTATTAAATTACTGTAATACCTACTGTACAGTGATATTTCAGACTGTTGGCTCATAAACTTTGCTGACTTGCTCGCTAAACAGAGTAAAAGCTGATAAGTGGTGAAAATGATAAAAACCCGACTTACGCATCGATTTGTCACCTTTTATACTTAAGAATGAGTATATTGACGTTTCCTGTGTAACGTATAAAAGATACCGAATCGAAAGTGATCTACTACTATGATTGAGAATGAAAGTAATATTTAAAAATATAATGATAAATTATGTGTTATTTTGATGTAGTAAGTTAAGTTTATTATAAAATTAAATTATAGATGTAAATTATATGTTAAAGTTTTCTCGGCAAATAAGTTACAGTCCCACCCGACCCGCCATCTGTCGGTGGTCATAGGAAATTCAACGTAAACAAACTGGCTTGTGGGAGAGGGTAAGACTAACTACTCCTTCCTATTATTGTAATTAATTTAAGAATAGAATATAATATCTTAATAAAATTCAAATATATATATGTACCGTGGATGGTTCTTGGGTTATTATTTAGTTTTTTAAAGGTTCATAGTTAAATGGCGACCGTAAACTTTTGTGGGGATACTGTAGGTAAATGTTGGATTAAATGATAGAAGACAAAAATGTTACCCTTAGTCTTCATGATATTGTTTGGGCCAGTGCTTGTGTGTGAACTGCTGGTTAGTGTACAGGCCAATTTTTGGTAAATTTTGCTTATGCACCGGTCTTTGTTTGATATTAAAACATGGGTTAATATATAGACGGGGCTGCATAGTGCCGGTGTGGCCTATCACTCCGTCAGAAATGCCTCAAATTTTACCATATCAGAGTAAGTTGTTTTGCATAATATACTAAGTTAGGTAAGTTAGGTTTAGTTAGGTTAGGTCAGGTCTGGTCTGTTATTCATACCACAAATGTTATAGGTTTATTTTAAAATAATTAACATTTCCACAAACTACAACAGCGTCCACTATAATATAACAAAGAAATTCCGGCGTTTTTATAATTGGTTTCAATCTATTTCGCTCGCAGGTTAGTCTTATATAATTACCAAAATATGTTTTTCCGATGATATTTGATGAGTTTCAAACGAATTTGGGTAAATTTTTACTTTAGGACATGAGTCCCTAGGGGTTGACCAGTATGTCTTTCCAGTCTCGTGACAATTGTTAGGTAGGGTTTCCATGGTTCTTTTGCTTACTTTCATTGGTTTAAATATTTTTTACACGCTATTAGCATAATATTAACACAAATGAACACAATAATGCATAGAACCTGACCTAATAGGTTGGGTTTGTTAGGTCAGGTTCTACTAGGTTTTATGCATTGTCGTTTCCATTTCTGTGTTTAACATCATGCTAATAGTGTATAGAAAAAAATTTAAACTCAATTCACACATTTCTTTCTGGTGGTAGCGCTTTCATAAACCTTTACCGTCCCCCCCTCCCCTTCCTCCCATCCCTTCTAACAATCTTGGGGGATCCGTGGGAAATCGGCATTTTTGGGTTGGGGAGAGCAAAAACGGAAGCTAATAGGCAGTTAACCCAACCCAACATAACTCACATATCATAATACAGTATAAGATGGTGAATTTGCTGTTTCAGCCTCAATTAATTGTTTGACATTAAATTTTTGTTTTTCCCAAATTCATATGTATTTTACCTTCATTTCCATCGCAAATGAGTGGTTACGGAGTTATCCCCCCCCCACAAAATTGCTCTAACCGAGTTAGGGCTGAAACTGTAATAATACCCAATTTTTGTCCTCCGGGTGAGTCCAGCTCTGTTAAATCAAAACAAATAATCAGTTACCTTTCTGATTTTTGTAAATAGTTTTGAAGGTTATTATGATAATTGTGTGGAAATACTTTAGATGATAGACTGATGGGAATGAGCCACTTTAAGGAAAATGGTAAAGGTGGAGGAGACGGTTATCACCAGTAGGAACTTGTGGAATTTTACCGTCCGACCCGGTTCAATAGTCACTACGGTTCATCTGGTTGACACACACATGTAGGTGAGTGTCAATCTTTTACCTGTCTTTGAGGCATGTCGGGTCACTTCCTGGTCTAACCTGACTTAAGGTTAGGCTAGATGTATCTGATAAAAATAATCAACCTTGCTGGATATAACTGTAGGCAATTTTACCAGGTGACCTGACTCAATAGCCTCTTCCAAAATATAAGATCTCTGTGAATGAACATTTATTAAACAAATACCCAATAAGAAATGGTTATATAGTGGAGCAGATGTATAACACCAAAAGGAATTGTTTGATTTTGTTCATTTTTCCCACAGATGTTCTTTGTATGATAGCAAGTAATAAAAATGATACGATAGGTTTTTCTTTTTATTATAAGTATTTTTTTCTATCTATGATCATAAATTATCTGTAGTGGACAAGGTATGGAGGAAGAGGGAAATTTCGGGGTAAAATACAGTTAAAAAAAATGATGCTCTGACACTAAAATGGTGTCTCTTTTGTGCTTTGTACGCGAAGAAATAATTAATTATCTGCCGTAAATATTCCAAATCTGATGTTGTCAGCGCTTCTTGTTGTTTGTTCTTTGTTTATGCTCAGTCTAAGCATACTCTCATGTCCACAAAATACCCCATAAAATTACACCGTGCTGCTTCAAGAAAGTTACGTTCATTGATACTGTACAAAATATCAGAGCAAGTACTTTCTATTTAATATGGCAGGAGGTCCAGGAGACAGAGTCCCTCAACTAGGAAGTTAGATAAAGTTGGGTAGGTTTCTTTGGTTGGTTAGGTCTGGTTTTATTTGGTTCAGTGCATTGTCGTATTGTTTTTTTATGGTATTATTTTGCTCCGGACAACACGGGAATCTTAGGAATTTTATCTTTGCAATTAATATACTATGCCATTATAGTACAGTACAGTACTCTGATTTCAGCAGGTAAAAACCAAGACCAAGCCACCATGAAAGCAAAGGGTAACACTTTAGGTCTTACATGAGATTAGGCTAAGAACCTGAAAATTGTTTGCAGTTTATAATGGAGGTGATTTGATGTACAGTTCATGTCTTACTAAATATTGAATGAAAATTATCATTAAAGGGAATTATTTAAATCCAAGTTCCAGACAATTTATATCAAGAAACATAAGAACCTAAGTACAGTAAATTGTACTGAAAACGGTAAAACTTGATTGACAGTTCAAGTAAAAAAAACAGTAATCTGTATTTAACTTATGGCATGGACAACAGTAATGCCTCAAAAATTAATCTCAAGTTGCAAGACTTGTGTTTAATCCTCATGGGATCAGATGCTTTATTGGCAACAGTGAGGTAAGTTTACCATTCAGACAGCTAATGACGTGAAACAAATAGGATTAATCCTAACCTGGGTTTTAAGATGTAGTTTGGGTTTTCTGTTAGTTTGAAGGTTGGATAGTTTATGTTAGAATAATAAAAGTTTATCTTGTAACCAGAAATGAATACTGTACAGTATGTTGTTTAACATAAAATACTGGTTGATTATAAATTTAAACTACATTACAGTACATAATAATGTGTGAAGATATCGTGTAACTTTATTGTTTTGTGTTCTGTGTCCTTTACATCATATTCCCTATTTTTACATTTAATTTTCATTGCTTAAAATTTATCTTATTTGTTGCCTTACAGTTGTCAGTGCCATATGCTTTTCAAATAATTGTCATCCTCTTGACACGTAATGTTAGTAGAATATAATGTGGTTTGACCTTCACCAGATTATAACATTGCCTCTGTGACACGTTTATCTGAAGGACACTCATACCTTCCTGTTGCAATTTTTTGAACACTAGAACATACAGTCCTCTCAGATACACTTTCTCTGTCTTCATTTACTGTGAGGAACTACTGTACTGGATTTTTGTTTATTTTAACGGCTGAATGTAGGTCATATTGGTCCCAGCCTTGATGGTACCCAACCTAGGGTTTTTGCTCAGTCCCAATGGGGTTTGAGCCCTAATGAGGCATAGTCCTATTAGACTCCAGTAATAATGGTTAGGTTCAGATGTGGCCTGTTAGGTCATGGGCCATTTGACTAAACATCTAGTCCATTTTACCTCTGGTTGTTTTTTGTTTGTCATAACATTATACTGAATTTATTTTAATTAATTGGATGATGAATTGATTTTATTTAATATTCTTTGCTTCAGGATTTTGAGTAAAGTTTATAATATTTTTTTGCCTCATTTCTTATCAAAAGATTGAACTCCACAGATTGGTTGCTATGGAGATGTCATCACAAGTAATATTGATATGTGGAATTATTAATTAATCTTGTTTAGTGGTTAATTTTAACTTTAACCAGTTTAAGTGAGGCAATGGAATGTTGAATTTACCTACCGGTAACTTAATTATAAGTACTGTACGAGGGTAGAGGAGAAAAATTGCCAACACACATAAAGAAGATTGTCTCTTTCATAATTGATACATTGTTATATCACCTGAATAAATAAGAAAAAGAGCTGTTTATGGTAAAGGTTTGCAAAATAGCCAGTGATGGACTAGTATCATATACAGAGCTGAGAAACCATTAATTTTCTCTTGTAAAGCAAATCACATAAACCTGATCTTAACCCTTACACCCCGGGTGACGTATTAAGTCGCCCGACTAGCTCGCCCCGGGTGACGTACCAAAATGCGGGCCTTTTTCCACCACTGTTTTAAAGCCCAGCGTGAGTTATCAGGTTCCAGTGTGACTATTTGCCTGTCACGCCACACACGCTCGGCCACAGGGAAGCTTCCTGAACGTAATTACTTACTTTTGTTTGTTTCATATTCATTGTTTGTCCATTTTATCATGTTGTATCAAAGGAATATTGCTAAAAGTAGTGTAGTTGTATTGTAGTGTAGTATTACTGGAAAGTAATGCTATGATTATGTTATAAATGTATTTATTTGTGTAATTATTATTATTTTATTCATTACTTGCTCTGCCAAACACAAAGAGAGCCTGGCAACTGACTGAGTGTGTGTTGCCAAGCACTTTTTATGAAAAATAATGCAAATTAATACTCTAAATGAATTATTTTTAGCAAATACGTATTATGATCAGTAAATATATGCATTACTGGCCATCTCGGACACAAAGGCAAGCTAAAAATAGCTGGTAAGTGCATAGGTGACCATGAGCTTAGCTGTCAAAAGAACACTGTCCCCTTATATCCCTCCCTCAGCACTGCCAGGGAAGTATTTAGAGGGTCAATATATAATTTTTATTACTTATTTTATATTGTTTTATCATTTAAAAAGGTTAAAAATTATTTTTGAAAAGGTTTTGATTTTTCTTGATTTACCCCGCGTGGGGGGGGGGGGGTACTGCCAGCGACACCCTACGGGGCTTAGGGTTAATGATGATTTTAAGGTACTGTACTTTTGGTTAGGTTAGTTGAGGTTGATAAGTTCATAGTGTCTGAAAGAACGGTGTAACAGTTCTTTCTGTAATATTTTCTTAGAATTGAAGAGTTTGCAGAACGTTACATCCCCAAAATGGTTTCTGTTGCAAGGGCTGACTTGGACAAATTGAAGAGAGAGAAAAAAAAGAGTATTTATTTATTTTTTATGTACAGTATATACTGAATAATCCTGTTTGTTATATCATATGAAAAATGGGGTGATATTAATTGTTAAATCTGAGATGGCTGACTTTACCAGTTATAGGCCTTTCAAATGGTTGTGCTGTGACCAAGAATATAATGTTTTTGTAACATTTATTTTTTTGTTGCAAGTGGTGTCGATAATATATATGTTGGTGAGAAGAACCTTTATTTGTGCGTTAACATTGTCTGGTAGTGTTTTGTGCCTGAGCATAAGTGGACAGAACTTTAAGGGCAAGAAAAAATTTAGTGTTAAACAGTGTCAGACTCAGGTTAGGATCAAGATTCACTCTTAATTTTGAACCCAGGTAACAGAACTCATCAATACAGTCCAATGACATATCTCTAATGTCGAGTTTCTCCAGCCTTGGTGCGGGCACTTGGTTATGTCCACATACAGAAAATTCTAGTTGGCAGCATCCTGCAGTCAGCCATTTACTGGACTCTTGATAAATTCTGTTAACCATTTTGCCATGGGAGGTCACCCTAAGCCGAATAAAATTGTCTGGCGGTAGCCAAAATGAAATGGCAAGTGCGTGAAACGCAGCGAAAGGGTTAATCGAGATAGGTTTTAACCCTTTTGCTGCGGGAGGTCACCCTAAGCTGATAAAAGTGTCTGTTTGTAGCCAGAATGAAATGGCAAGTGCGTGAAACGTGGCAAAAGGGTTAAGGTGGGAGTTCTGAAGCCTGCCTGGTTGTGAAAGTCAGAAGTGACTGGAGGAAGTTGCTGCCTTTATAGTGTAGAAGGTAAGGAGAGGACCTTTCCTCCGAGTGAAAGGAAGAAAGTATGCAGCTGGCGTAGAAGTGTGATATTGTATGGCAGTGAAACATAGGCAGATAGAAAGGATGACATGAGTAGACTAAGACTTTGATTTTTGTTTGGGTCCTTGTCAAGGGTTTGGTGATAACCACAGTGTATCAGCAAGATGTGGTGAGTTTTGATGGAGGAGAGATACAACTCACACTGTTTTCCATATATTAACCCTTAAATGGCTGCCATCATCCATCGTCAATGGGGGTTTTATGTTTCTTGTATTCCATTTTTGTACATATGGGGACAAAGTAGGAAATCCCAAGGAGCCGGTTAACGGTTAAAAGCAGCAAAACCTTACTGGTCGCTATACTGAGTAGGGTTTTGGCAAGAAATAGGTTGGACGGACAGATGCTTAATCTGCTGTACATAGTACTATTGGATAGCTATTAATTTTTCACTTAGTAACAGTCGTGAAATAGTTAATACTTTTTATAATTATTTGTTGTTGGTGTGTGGAAGTTTAGTTCATACCTTATGTTGGATATTCACTATTACTGTCTCCAGATGGGTTGGTAAATGATCATATTGTTTACTGCTGTGTATCAACTGCAATTATGGTTTTGTGATCTCTTAAAATTAAAGTATAAATAGATCCCTAAAATATGGTTTCTATAGATTCTTAAATTATTGGATGTGAAAGACTGATATTGTAGGGTCGAGGGCTTTATGTAGGTCATACTGTAAAGTAAACCCTTGTTATTCGTGGGGGTTAGGCTCCAAGGAATGGCACGAGTAGGCAAAACCATGAATAGCAACTTATACTACCTTAGTGCACTACTGTATACCTATACTGTGTATGAAAAACTTAAGTCACCAATACTACTTACCAACCAGCCATGGCAGCACACATCCCCTCCTTTAACTTAATAATTCAACCTTCTTTGTCAGGGTCATCACTGACTTCTGCCTTTTACATTTCACTCCACTAGCATCACTAGCACTGACACTAGGCAGTCTTTTGGGGCCATTTCACACAGAATCACTAAACTTTTGAGTACAACACGAGGTGCTGTGTTGCAGGCAGTGGTTGAGTGCAAACAAGGGAGAGGAGATGCTGCTGGCGTATGGGGGTGACTTGTTGCGCTGCGGGAGAGGCTTGTAAGCTAGACACCATCTGCTTACTGCGAGTAGTCGAAACCACGAATAACAAGGGTTTACTGTATACATATAGTACAATACAGTGGTAGGCACTGACCAGAGACCCTGAGCAGGGTGAAACTGTGGGCAAGTTTCTTTACATCATTTGTCTCTCTACCCAGCAGTAATTGGGAACCTGGATGTTAATCGATTTGTGGATCATGTTCTGGGGTAATGGTTAGCCAGTGCAGTTGGAAAGTTGTCCAGTCATGCAACTCATTGACTTGGGATGTCGTTGTTGTGTTGGCAACAGCCTCTACACCTTGAACAAATTCACGCCAAGGTGGCCCTTGGGCCGGCCATCCTCGAACATGAGGAGCGACCATTATTTATTATTATATAGGTACAGTACAGTACTTAACTCAAGCTTAGTGTTATTCCAGGAATCTTTATATACCATACTATGCTTACTTTAACGATACACTGAGGTTTGTATCTGTATACTGTATGCTCCAGCTGTATACCATACTCGGTGATCTGTCTGTATTGTATATCCTCAATTCCTCATACAGTGTACTATTTGATCTGTCTGTATGTACCCCTGCAGTGTACACAGTAATATATCTACATACTCCAGTAATATCCTCAGCAGAATATGTGTTCATGCTCCAATTAGTGTTTAATAATGTGTGTATGCAACTAACATCCCATATTGAAGATTGAACCCAATACTGCAATATGCCAATCTCAAGCAATATCCACTCAGCCACTCAGTAAATGTAACCTCTAACTTAATGACGCTTCCTCTTACAAGATGTGACTGTTACCAGTTATTAGGTGTGTGGGTATCACCTGGAACTTGCATTTTGACCCACCAGAGGATGTTGGTTGCATTGATGTGTGTGAAAAATGTATACTGTATCTGTTTACATGTCTGTGTGTCCTTTAGTGTAAAAGGTCAATTATTGTATGTGTTAGTGTGTGTGTGTCAGTGATGTGCTTGTGTATGTGTTCTGACTCAAGTGATTGAAATATTGTGTGCAGTACACTACAAATGATGACTGGTGGTTAAAGGAAATAAATCACATACACCGTACAGTATATGTATAAACTTGTGTTAGTAATGCTTCTGAGGGACTACATCATACAAATTCTCCAGTTGTGTGAATAAGTAAATAACTTGTTCTACAGTTTAAATATAACAGATGTAATGGGATAAATTATTCCCTCATTGCAAAGACAAAAGTTTGTAGTGTTGTCATTTTATATTTATATCATTAGGTTTACCATATACAATATTTAATCACCTCATGAAACAACAAAATAAGTATGGTTTTATCTTAATGTCCTTAGAGGCTTTAGAGTTACTATTATCCATCACAGCCACTGTGGATCAAGTTGTTACAACTGGAATGCTTCGGAGCACAAAGCTGGTGGGACATTACACTCATGTGCCGTAAACAGAACTCAAAAGTACTTCAGAGAATAGTTGTCATAAAATTTATATTCATGTGATATTTTCAAGTTTCAGTGAGACAGTCCCCTGCATGTCAGCAAAGCAGTAACTGACCTCTAACACCGGCAAAGGAATAAGTGCAGAGCTGATATATTCGAGGTACCTCGGCTTTTCTGGGCACAACAAATCACAGCTTGTCTCATAGGTACAAGGTTGTAGCTTACTGCACCAAGAGTTGGGCATTTGCCATCATGTGGCTTGGGTGTGTCAGTGTATTATCAGTGTGCTAAGGGATACTGAGAATGACCAAAAGAACAGTGAGTGTGTCTTGGAGAAATACGCTGTCTATTGAATGATGACGCAATCCATAACTTGGTACTTTCAATCCATTGTGGGTTGCTGAACCTTTCGTAACTCACCTCTTACACGTTCAAATTATTCTTTACTTTAAAATATTGTTGCCAGAACATTTAGGCAATAATCCAATTACAATACAGTATTATGGTGAGCCTGACCTGCAAGGATTTGGAATCATCAGAGAATTGCTCAATTGCATCTGGGGTCAAAAATTTGATATACTGCACAGTACAGTATATCTTCTCATCACCAATTTGGCCTTCCAGAACCAATGCTTGATACTGCAATGAATTGAAGCAAAACAAAACTCTTCTCCTCTCCTTATATATCCTTTTAAGTTCCCATCATCCCTCTTGAAGTTTCTCTCTGCCTATTCTATTCATATACTGTGTACTATCTGTTTTCTTACGTATTTAATTCCCACATACAGTAGTTCTTATTTATGTATTTTATTTTTGTCATGAGTGTTCTTTTCTACATGATGCCTTATGTAGCTTCCCTTCTACAAGTTCACTCACCAGATTTTATATATACAGTAAATTCCTTTCCCATGTACAGTATAGACTAACTTTTTCTTATATGCTTTCTCTTTATATTCACATTCATGTTGGTTGTTTCTCTTTATGGACTGTAATTTTACCTGTTTGTTTTCTTGTTGGCAACAGTTCTGTCTGTAAACGAAGCCAATTATCTGCCCCAAAACCAAGTTTTGACTAGTTGTCTCATAGGATCTGTATATAAATGAGTGGGTCATAGAAATGTGCATTTGCCCTTCATCAAAACGGTATCACCATTATCAATCTTTCCACCAGCCCAGATGCTTGAGTCTGTCTGTGGCATCATTATCATGGCAGATGTTACCTTATGATTTTGCTGTCATTGGAAATCAGTCACATCTAGATTCATTCTTAGAGAGGAAATCCAATTTAAGGTTCGAGTGACTCTTGCCTCAATTTATATACAGCTTTAATTGTGATGAGTTTAACTTGCAGCCCATAGTTGTTGTTTCCTCTTGTACCTAGTGTCTCATAGGATGTGCACCAAAGAAATTTTTTCTTTTTGAGGTAAGAGGATTGTAATTGGCAACACTTACATGCCTGAGAGTTATCGATTGAATTCTTTTATAACTGATGGGTATGTTGTCGCATCTAGCTTTCCATACATGAATATTAAACCGACTGTCTCCTCTACTGTTAATTTTCTCTGCCATCTTTGTTGATTCATTATGATGCCCTCACCTGACAAAAAGAAGACATTACTATTTCTATGGTGTGCGATCTGTGAGACACACTGTGCTGTACTTCCTTGAGAATGAAGTTCTTGGTTGAGATGAGGTAATAATGCAATGGTAACCTACAAATTATACAACAATACAGGAAGTTAAAGCACTCAGTAAGGTTTTGAGAATGTAGAAAAGTATACTTGAGCATCATTAATTAATGCAGGTATATAAAAAAAATTGTAGTATAGTATTGAATGTAGAAGTAAACAGCCAACAATATAGAGTACATTCTCAGTAAGTTTTATGTTAGTGGTTTATTAATGGTCATACAAATGTAGGTACAATTCCCATTTTCCTTTATTACCTTAACCATCTTTTTTTTCCCCCTATTTTCATTGATAATAACTCCAAACTTGGTCTTGGGTCGGGCAGATGGTATCAATCACAGTCAAAACCGGTTATGCTTTAGAGAAAGTTTCACGTACTTCAAGATCTGCTTCTCTCATTTTTGTGTTATTCACATGTGATTCCTCTCCTTATGTGTGGGTGATGTGTAGTGAGTGTTGGTCATGGCACTGTGTTTTTATGCTTGGTTTATGAATTTTTAGCAACTCCTTATTATCAAGGCAAAATTTTAATGCAAAAACTTCCTGTGAACAAAGCATTACAGGTCATGTGTATCACAGAAGGTGTGTCAGTTTTATGTAGAAGATAATAGTGTTGTGCTTTATATATTATGGAGCATGAGTTTTTCACTTCACTATATGTCCCAACTTGATGTTATACACTGCTGTAATACTTCTTAATATTTCTGCCCTGTTTACTCTTTGTACAGTTTAATAATACAGTATCAGTAAAAAACAAAACAAAATCCAGAATTTAGAAAATTATCCTCACATTATTTAAACTTATGTGGTTGTTTGCTGTAATGATTCTCCATTTCTTTTTACATTATTTATCATACTAATTATTTCTCTTTCTATTGCATTGCTTATGAAACAAATTTTTACACATCATTTGATTATCAGAAAAGTACCTGGGCTCTTTTTTCAGATTGCCGCTGTGTGAAGCGTGTTTCGTATTCCGCCAGATGGCATCTCTGGAGGACCAGTACCAAAAAGCCTGGCAACTGTTCCAGGAGGAAAGTCACCATGACCCTGATAGTGAACCTTATAAATCTAAGTACGCTGCAAGAGAAATATTTGAGGAACTAAAATCACGGCTCAGTAAACAATTAGATGAAGATGATGTGGATGATGGAGAGGGTGCGTTTAGTGAGGAAGGCGTGGATGGTGTGGGTTTAACTAGAGCCCGAATGGCTGCTGTAGTATATCACTTAGGAGTCATTGCAGTTGAGACGGAGGAATTTTCCACCGGTGAAGAGCATCTGAACAAAGCATTAATCATTATTGGTGACGAAGGAGGTATTTCATCCGGTGTTTCCTCTCTTACCGTTGGAGAAGCCGAGGTGGCCGCAGCCGCTCTCCGTGGTGTCGAGGAGAACCTTCTGCCGGACACCAGTGAGACAGCTCCCATCAGCCTCACTGCCATAGCCCCTGCTACCGTTGGCCTCGCCATAAGTTGTCACAACCAGCTTGGCATCCTGTGGTCAAACCGTGCTCTCTATACCACCGCCAAGCGTCATCTTGATCGAGCCAATATGCTCTATGAAGAGTACCAAAAGCAGAGTACTACACCTCCACGAACTATCTATAGTTTATTTTCTACTAATAGTGAAAAAGACAGTAGCTGCGATGACACTAGTGGTATTGATGCACTGGAGAAATTACACACACTTACTTTCTACTACCTTGCTCAGGTCAGTAACAAGGGTTGTTCCTCTAGATTTTGTAAGTAAAGTATAGTTTAGTATTTATCTGTGAATGCTTCTAATTTTGTATGGTTTTACTAACCAACCTAACTTGTGATTATGGAACACTTTTTGTTCATCAAGATGGCTTTCTGTTATAAGATGGGTTATACTGTATTAACAAGTGGACCTGAATGTGATAGAATGGTCTGCTTTTAACACTCTTGAGGTTTTCGTATGCAAATTTGCGTTCTGTATTATCTAAATTATCGCTTTAGGGTTTTCATATGCAAATTTGCATATGAGTTAAAAAAAATTATAATAAAATAATTTTTTTTGCTTATGAATGCTAGATACGCAAGATGCACATTTGGCAACGTCGGTGTGATCTGGCACCTACTGTATGTAGACTGCCTCTCAGGTTACACGAGTGACCACACCAGTCACCCTTTGTGGTTCAGCAGCACAGGGCATAACTTTGACCCACATTTTTGGATAAGTATTACTGTATTATAGTTTTGAACTATGCCTCATGTTGCTGGTGAAGGTGGAGGGGTGGGGAAAAGGTAAAATGTACAGGGAGATTGTACCACATGGTGATAGTGTGGTGCCTCTTGAGGCCTCTCCCAGTGTCCCTGGCCCTCAAAAAATCAGTCCTAGTGCAAAAGGAACTGCCCAGCTTGTTGTTGTGGCTGGAAGGAAAAATAAAAAAAAGGTGTTGCACATGTGGCATCTCAGCCATCACAGCATGGCTTACCTCGTGACCGCTCATCTCCCTCACAAGTATACGCTACTCGTACGCCCACTAAAACTAGACTCAGTCACCTTGTTCAGGCTAAGTACAGCACTGTGGGGCATAGAGGAGGAGGGGAAAGGGCTGGAGGGGGGAAGAACATCACTAAGTGATTATTATTTTATGTGAATTTAGAAAATAAGAAGAATTTATAAGCACATTACTGTATGTTTAATTTATGTAAATGCAATTTAGAAACTTTTGAGTGAGGAATATTCGCTTTTGGGAGCTTGAGTGGCAGCCATGCGCTACAATTCGTGTTATACTCTCACTTATGTGTAGATTTAATCATTTTATTGTGATTACCTATGCTGTATAAAACTATTTGTAGATAATGTACAGTGTACAGTATTTACAATGCTAATGCGACAAATATATAATCTGTACTTGAGCTGGGCGTGCTCATGAGAACGCACAATTACACCATTATTGCCTCGCAAAATAATAATTTTTTCACAACTTTTCTCCATTAATGATTTTTTGCTAATTACAGTATGTACACTTTACAATGGACTAAAGTTCATATTGCAATCACCTTAAATAACGAAGGTAAAAAGTGATGTATAAAGTTTTCATTAAGCTTAAACTTATAAACATGTAAAACTGTTCGTAGATAATTTATGTACAATGATAATGCAACAAACACCACCTTTTTATCTCAAATAGCCAGCTTGCTGTGACTCTTATGTATATTTATCTCTCGTGTGGTGAGGTTAGTGATCGGCCAGACCACGAGCGTCTTTCTGTAGAACAATTAAACCCAAGAGTGTTAATAAGCCAACTATGAGGCCACTACTGCTAACTGTTTCCTTTACTAGAATTTTTTTAATGTAAACTTTGTATAATATCTGAAGCTTATATAAGATGCTTACTTTACTTTGTTTAGACTGAATTTTAGTTTAGTTTAGTAAGTATTTACTTGTTAACAAATACGTAGTGGTATTCTCTTTTACAAAATGTAGTTTGGGCTTTAAATATAAAACAATAGATTTAAGATGCAGTTAACAGTAAAAGTAGGATTCTAGTATTTAGGGCATCATCTTCAGGTGTACGGTCATCTTGGTGCTCCTGACAAGTCTGCCTGGTACTGTCACTCGACCCTTCAGCGTCAACTGGCCAGTAAAGACTATGACCCAATAGACTGGTCCATCAATGCTGCCACTCTCTCACAGTTCTATCAGGGAAAAGAGAAGTTTAGGTAAGAAGAACAGTAATTGTGGAGAGAAAAAAAATTTAAATTACCCTTATACCCGGTACAGTGGCTGGCATGTTTTAGGAACGTCGTAATTATGTCCAGACTAAGGATGTTAGAACAGAATTCCACAGAGTTGTCACATTTAAAAAAATGTGCCAACCACTGTGCTGTATTAGGTATAAGTGCAGGCAACTATACTTCTGAATTTGGATTTGTGGAACAGACTTGAGAGTTAAAGTAGATGTTTAATCACTTAGACTTGTATCTCCAACTTGACCTTCATATAGAATCAAGGCTTCATCATCTTTTCCTCGAAGGAAATTAGAAATTTTAGGTACAGTCAGAAGCAGTAATGGACGAGTTGACGGTCGGAATTTTTTCACAAGAGCATAAGAAAATAAGGAGTCTGCAATAGGCCGGTTGGCCTGTGCATGGCAGCTCCTGTCGAGAGTTACTACCACTCTCTATCATCCATGAATCTATCTAGCTTCCTTTTAAAACTTTCCAACATCCCAGCACTTACTACAATCTTGCTAAGCTTGTTCCACTAATCTACCACCCTATTTGTGAACCAGTTCCTTCCTATCTCCCTCCTAATCCTAAACTTATCCAACTTAAATCCGTTGCTCCGTGTCCTATCCTGCTCGGATATTATAAGAACTTTAGCTATATCCCCTTTATTGATTCCTTTCACCCACTTGAATACTTCTATCACATCTCCCCGCACTCTTCGTCTTTCTTTTGAATGCAAGTTTAGTTTCTTTAATCTATCTTGATATGGAAGGTTTCTAAGTCCCGGAATAATTTTCGTCATTCTTCGCTGCACCGACTCCAGTGATCTGATTTCCATTCTATAATAAGGGCACTGGAGAACTGAACAGCATAATCGAGGTGTGGGCGGACTAGCGCAAAACGTAATTGCAATATAACCTCCGCACTCATATGACTTACACTTCGAGATATAAACCCTAATACTCTGTGCCTTATTTTGAACATTAACGCACTGTTTTCTAGGCCGAAGGTCCGGGTTTACGAGTACCCCCAAAGTCTCTTTCACAAGTTGACTTCTCTAGTTTGATGTTGTTCAGGCTGTATACATTGACAGTATTTGTTCGTCCAATATTAAGTACGCTGCACTTGCTGGTGTTGAATTTCATTTGCCGTTTTTCTGGCAGGTCAATAGGTAAAGAAAATTATTAAATTCACCATGGTAATGATATTTTTAAATAAATTAGGTCAAAAAGTGTAAACAAATAAGGGTTAAAGTTGTTAAAAAGTCACGTGACTACGAAAAGCTCTGTCATTGGTTGTGACGTCACTGACCAGTGCGAGCAGCAGAGCGGGAGCCTCGAGGCAGCCATCTATGGTGTATGTGTTACCAGCAAATACAGGACTTGTGGCCATACGCAATGTTCAATGAAAGGACGAAGAGTCGTTGGTGCTTCGTGCCAATGTGCAAGAGTACCGACAAATCCTCACCAGGCAAAATATTCATTACAGTACCGAAAGATAAGAAGATAGGAAAGAGATGGTGGCTTGCTGCTCGACGGCACTTCCCTACATCTACTGTTGTGAAGATCATTTTGATGTGAGTATTAAGTTGATATAAACAGGCTGTGGTGAAAGAAGACTAGAGTTGACCTTTTTCTAGGCTTTATTGTTCATATAACTGACCAAGGGTAGTATGTCACCTGGAAGAGAACAAAAGAATATTCTAGTAAGTGAAGGGAACAATGAAAATTACTAATATAATATAACCCCAAACAAAACAAAACCCAATGATAAGAAACATATGTACAGTATATACACGCATAACAAGATAGAAGACGGGTTCAAGTGTACAAGTGTAGCATAACTTTATTACACAGGCATACCTTATTTTTAGGTTAAAGTAAGTTACTCAAGTATCATCGTGTGTATTTACTTGCTAGGTGCAAAAATTATGCAAAAGATCAATAATTCCAACATGGAAGTTTTCGTCACAGTTCTCTTTCATGTCTGGAAAATGTAAGTTTTCGTCACAGATGTCTATATTTTATGTTGTGGAAGGACTAGGAACGACCATGGCCAGGAAATGGACTTGAGATGATCAGATGACAGATGTAATATAACATGCTTCAAAGCTGGATGGCGGAGTTCTTGATAATACTCTACAATCATAAAGACATCTACTTTTGGTAAATTTCTTTCGTCTGCCTTGATGAACCCTGGAAGTAGTTGTCCAACCTTCTCGACTGATCGGCTCTGTAAATAAATATTATTAGATAATTAACTGTGCTTTACTGGGCAACACAGTATTGCTATATTTAATATATAAGTATTACTAATCACATTAACTAATTCAATGGATATTAGCTGCCCCTACTACAAATTTCATAGTGTAAGCATTCCAAACAATATTGGTATTATTTTGGTTTTGGTCATCTGGGGAACCTTAAGATTCTAACTATGGGATTAAATACTTTACACAATAAGACATTATCTCTACGGGATTTCTGTCGCAAACCATTTTTCGACTGCATAAGAAAATACAGGTCATATGTTAGGTTAGGGTATGATGAGTTATAAGGTTAGCTTAACATATACAGTATCGGTGAGGGCGGGGGGGTGTAACTCAAAACTTGTGATTTGCGATAGAATTGAAAGTCTAAATCGTTCGTAACACATTGCAAACCATTAGAAAAAAAATAGTCTGCATGTCTAAGTACAGGGATGACCAAAACTTAAAATTTACCCAATACAGTATAGCTTATGTCGAATCTAAGCATCCAAATACTTATGGTAGTTAAAATAAAATTTTGCCCATTAATTGATGTAAATGATTATACAGTGGTCCCTCGGTTAACAAATTAGCTCCCATAAGGATTCTCAGTTCAATTAACGAAAAAACTTTGATTAACGAAATCTTTACGACAAACACGTTTTGTTGTGTGCATCAGGTGATCGGCTAGTCCGCCATTACAGTGCAGGGGGTAATCGGTTCTATGTTTACATTCATTTCCAGTGGAGTAAATATCAAGAAAGTTGTGCTCTTTAATATTTTTGCAATTTTTATATTAAAACTATTAGTCATTTTAAAATTTAGTTAACATATTGATAATATATGCAGTACAGGGAACTAGTGTTTTGTGCGCCCATCAGCCACTTGACTTACCCGCCAAAGCGTCTCTATTTAACTTTGTTTACAGTGGAGGAAACACCGTGTTTGTTGGTCTCTTGAACACAGAGTATTTTTACGTTTTTACACTCAAATTATTGGTTATTCTGAAATTTAGTTAACATATTGATAATTTATAGCGCAGTGCCGTGTTGATTTGAATATAATCTTTAATTACAGCTAGTGAACTTAAAATTTTATTGGTGAAATTACTGCATCAAGCATGGGTGAGAAAGACGATTCCCCTCAGTGCTGCTCTCCAAAAAGGAGAGTGGATTTTCATGTTAGAGAATCTGTCAGTCCAGAGGTTCCTGACGTTATTATGGAAGGTGACTCGCCTTCCAAGAACCATTAAAATGCTTCTCTTCTCCCTTCTCCTCCACCCCCACTTCCCTCTCTTCTCCCTTCTCCTCCACCCCCACTTCTAATTCTCATCATCATCATCAACCAACAACATTCTACATACCTACACACCTCAAAGTAAGTATACTGTAGTGTATTTTGTTTATACTTCGTATGTACTTTTCTGTGAGTTGGAACAAATTACCCAATATCCCATTGAAATAATAGATTCCGTTAACGAACGACTCTGTGGAACGAATTGTGTTCATTAACCGAGGGACCACTGTATATCCCTGTGGTTCATTAGTGAATCATCAAAACAATAACAGCACTATGTTGTCCTGTTTATCTAGCATTGGGCATTCTCACAACAAAGTCCAGACAATGTCTTTAGTACTCCTCAATTTACTCGTATCTCCATCCGTGCTTCGTCTGCACGGTAGGTGGTGACGTCATTGCAAATGGCGGCCCTTTTTCTAGAGAAATAAACTTATCTCGATTATTATAGCAGGTCTTTAACTTTTATTACAAATTATATATACCGTATGACTACGAACGTGGCAGAATATATTTCTTGTGTTTACCCAGAACTGTCAACTCGTCCATTGTTACACCCCAGAGCCACATCAAATGAAGGCCTGGTGATAGAACAAACCCTTCTCCCTCCCCCTTTCCCTTGTCAAAACGTTGCTAGATAGTTTTGGAACTATGGTAACTGGCACTGCTTCATTGTGTCACTATCAGCTTTCACTGGCTGTAGCTCCAGCTATTCGGGGGGGGGGGGGCAATTACTGTTTCTGACTACATCACAGTATTTGATTTAGATACTTGATATCTGCATCACTTAATCAGCCTTGGTATATGGCATTACACCTAAAAATTTGAAGCATACATATTGTGATATAGTTCTGTGCACCTATCAACCTACCTGTCTACTTAACTGTTAAAATTTTCATATACTGTATAACTTCACTTTCCTGTGTTGTTTTTTCCTGATTCTGTGAGCATAAAACTTAGTACTGCTTATACATAGTTCAAGATCCATAATAATGGTGGGCTAATGAAATCTTTCTTCTGCCTTCTCATTATTTGTTTGCATGTGCTGTATACAACGTGCAGAGTAGCGAGACATCTGCTAGCGTCAGCATCCAAGGTGTTGTCGGGACACGAGGCTGAGGTAGATACTTTACAAGAGGAAACACATGAAGTTGCTCACAAGTAATTATGATTTACAGTTTTGTATGTCAAGTTGAATAATGTACAGAGGAATTCAATAATGTTATTGTTGTTCATTTAGCTTCTTGAATAGTAGTTTTTAATTTCTCACTACCATTTACATATACTGTACAGTACTGTGTGTATGATAATTTTACGTACGGTATACAGTATGCATACAGTATACTGTACTGTGAAGAATTCCAGTTTATGTTGTGAGTTATTGTGTAAAGTGAGTGCTTTTTTATTTATCCAATATTATCATTACATAGCTAATGTATTGTATTTCATCCCAGACAAGAAAAATACAGGCAATGTAAAGCAGACGTAGGCCGCTGCTGGGGTCGATATTGCCTGGTGCTGCTGCAAGCGTCTTGTGATAGGGCCATCCCTGATGAACCCGGACAAGAGTCACAGGAGGAGCACCAACCTGAAGAGGAGGTATTAGATAAACAGGTACAGTTATGGTAATGTAGTTTCTTAAGGCATCCACACACTCTCAAATATGTTTGTCAAACATGGTCTTTGATCATACAATTTGAGAGTGTGTGAATAAGTTTGAAGGTATGACCAACATGTTTGAAGAAGATTAAACAAGTTTGATATTTTCTCGTCCAACATGACGTATGTTAAACATATTGGATAGTATATGGCAATGTATGATCAAACATGCTCAGTCGAGTAGCAGTATCCATGGCGAGTGCATGGGACTCCCATGAGTTTTGGAGAGAGTTTATTGAACATTATAAGCAGTTTCCATTATTGTGGCAAATAAAAAGTGAAGATTACAAGAATAGATCTCTTAAACAAGAATGTTATAATGTAACCATGACTCTGAGCAGAAATGGGAATTGTAAACTTTAAGTCCTTAAAAGACTGGCCCATTGCTAGGAACCACAGTGTACTAGTGAGTCTTTGACTTGCTGGTATGGCATCTCTCAAGATAGTGTCCACTTTTTTTTATGTATGGCGTCGCTTTCCAACAGTTCAACGAAAGTTTCATTATCCATTCTCAAAAAGTTTTTATAATCTTGAGGAGATGATACCACTAGTTCCTTTAATGGGGCGGTGTGAGAGAACTTGGGTCTATTTCTGTGCCATTCCTTCATCTATAATTTTCTTTTTTGTTTTTTCTTTGAAGTCTCTCTTTCAAGGCACGTACCAAACCCCAACTGAAGTTTGATCATTCTAGTTGTTAAGTGTGTGGTTATGTATGATGCTTGATCAAACATCATGTTTGACAAACATATTTGATAGTGTGTGGGCACCATTATATAAGTATTCAATATTTCTTTTCTTTTTGGAAGGTCAATGAATATTTTTTAATGTAAATTTTGTTGTCTGTATCTTTGACACTGAGGTTGGCTTCAAGAGAAGAGCCTGTTGAATGCCCTATCCTGACATCCCTGTTTAATCAGACCCATTTCGCTTATGTCCTCTGAAGATCTTTTCGTTATATAGTACAGTAAAGCCTTGAATGTCTGGACCCCGTAAGTCCAGAGTTTGGATAAACCGGATACTTTCCAGGCAAGAAACATTTGTCTGAACCCTTAAATATTTGTCATTTGAAATTCCACCAGTAGGCAATCCCTTGGCCTCTTTCCTCCTCTCAGATCCTTAAGTGGGCAGTTTATTCCCCTACTCATAGAATGAACTTAACCATAATGCTTCACTGTGATTGGTTAGCTTTAAGTTCAACACATTCAGCCACAGAAAAATGGTTAGATTTTAGGTAAAATAATTCAAACAATGGTGATGGTAATCTTCCCAGTAAGATATTAGAAGACTAGCACGTATTGCATCATCCATATGTCACATGCATACACACAGACCTGCCCAACTCCATCTCAGTTTCCATTATTTTGAAGTCAAATAAGCCTGGCACTTATACTCTTGCAGTATAATGTTAGGTGCTGCTGGTTAGTGTGATGTGACAGGGATAAACTAGATGAATATTTGGAGCTTTGGTGTGGAAGGGGAGTACAGTACAGTACCTTAGAACACATATATTATACTAGTAAGAATTATTGAATGAAGGGCAGATGTGTGAACTTGATCTTGATTCCAGCCACACTCCCTGAAGCATCACTTGAAGATTAATAACCCAACTTATTCCCCCTTAAGATTAAACAACTTAATGCTAACCTAACATAACCTAACCCACCTCCCCCACCCCAGGTATCATTTTAAGTGGTAGGTGAAATAAGCTGGGGGCTAATCTTCAGGTGATACAAGAAGAGAAATACGTATTCAAATTATATCTAATACCAATAAAGCATACTTTTATCTTTCAAACAGCTTCAATTTGTGCAACTAGAGGTCAGTGATTTGGAATCTGAAGTTGCAGCCTCACCTGGAGAAAATTTTGATGAAGTTAGGCCGATCTTCTTGGCTGGATTGCGATGGCTAACCACAGCTCGCCAGTACTACACCCTGGAGGATCACGCCAGCGACCACGTCAGCATCTCACAGGAGATGAGCCATTTATATAAGGCCCTAGCATTCTTTGAACCATCTGAAGAAAGGTATAGTACAGTATATATTCTGTAAATGTTATACTATAATGATAAAACATTTTTGCATTAAATCCTAGTACAATACCTTGCTGAAGTTGCTCTATAAATGACTTGCTTTTATTTGTGATTAAGATCGTACTGGACATATGAGTGAAAACTATAAAGTAATCCAATTTAATTCAGATATCCTTGTTCACATTTTCTTTAAATATTCGCACAGACGGTGTAAAATGCACAAGCGAAGAGTTGACTTACTGACGACTCTTGTTGAGGAACTTAATCCACAGTATTATATTCATGTGAGTATTGAGAGTTCAGTAGGTAGAGTTTGAAGACTTATAAATATATAGATGAGAGGTAGTGTAATAAGTTGTGAGTTGATTGACACATCCTGAGTGTTTATTAGTGTAAAACTACAGTACAGTATGTAGATTATCTGCTCTTTATGTATATTAAATCCTCTTTGGTTTGTATGAGTGTCGACCTCTTCTGTACTGCTAACCAAAAGTGTAGTGTTGATCCATGATTGAGTTAGGTTAGGTGTGGTATACATGTATGGTGGTTCTACCGTGTAGTAAAGAACTGCTTAAGTATGTTTCAGTGTGATAATTTTGGTGTTTATCACATTTATTCTTGAATGCAGTTCAACAAATTTTATTTTAAATTCATCCACTGCACATCTTGTAAACATTTTACTTCGACTTTTATTTATGTACAATAGCAGTAAGAGTAAATATTAAGAGCTGGAATGTTATATACAAAATCACAGTCTGCCATTTATATTCTAACAGCCAAAAGTACAGTGATATTTCCAATTTGGAATAATGATTGTGTTTTATTTTTATGCATGCATAGTTCAACACTTGAACAATTGTGGTGTTTGCATACACACAAACACATGAGCAAGTACCTGTATATGGATGATGGCTCATCTGAGTAAGAATTCAAGTCACCTTATTAGTTATGAAGGCAACCTGAGAAAAACAAATGGGGAACACCTTGAGATTAACCTCTAGGTTATTTCAATTGAAGATTAACCACTCTAATGCTACCTGGTGGCTTTGTTCAGGTTAGGTTAGGTTATCTTGAGGTGAAATAAACCGGACGGGAGTGAATCCTCGGGTGATCAAAATACGGAAACCTTATTATCCTGTACAAACATACCGCATATCTTAACATTTTTATGATGGTACTATACATTTGTGTTCATTTTTCAGGTATGTCGTCAAATTAACTATGAACTGGCTGAGACTTACTCGGCCATGATGGACAATAAGCTGGCGCTGGTGGAGAGTGGAGGTAGTGAACCAACGCCGCCACAGGCCAAGAAGATCAATGTCCTGGCAACATCCAGCATACAGTATTTCCTTCACTACCTCGACTCTCTCAAAGATAGAGCGTGAGCATAGAGCGTTTATCTTGGAGGCCTCTGTGTGCGTGTGTGTAATAATAATAATAAAAATTCACGGTTTATTAAGATTACATGGCAGCCCGAAGGCTGAAAATATACAATAAACAGAGGTGATAAGTTACATATGGTGAAATCGGGGAGTTGGTCTCTTGATTGACAAAAGCTTTCAATACAAAAAATATAAGAAACATAGAGTCAACATTTAGATTAACTATAGATCTGGTACTGTGGGAGCTGGTCTTGTAGATAATCTTGTGACCTGATGTTGATGCCCACTGTCTGGATGGCTGTCGTACTTGGTTGCTAATCCGTTACCTCACTACAGCTGCAGATGTTTAGGATAGCCACCACGTGGTCCGGGTAGGTCCTTCAGCTCACACAGGGTATTATAGATGGTACTTGTTCCTCGTGTGATGTAGTTAGGAATTCATAGTTCCTCACCTGGGTGGAGTAGGCTTCTTGTCCCATGTTGATGGTGGTCAACATTGACTGCTAAGCACGATTGTCTATAACAGTTGCTTCTTTGTTTCGAGTTGAAATTGCCACTTTTGTATATCAGTTGTGGGTTGATTGTCAATCTTTGCACTGTACTGTTGGTGGGAGGATGTTGATAAATCCAGATGGGGAAGGAGAGGGGCCCGACAAACCGGGCTGGCAGCCGTCTCCATGGTCAAGAGACCACGGCCGCGTGAGCAGGCAGCGCCGATGTCCTCACCCTATGAAGGCTGAAGACTGTGTTTGTGTGCGTGCGGTCTTAATTATAGTAGGGGAATTAAAAGTAACACAGCCATACACTTGTCACTTGACTGCATAAATTTTTACAGCTTTGTTTTTTCACTAACTTCTCAACCACAAAAATTTCTTGGAATAGAATGAATGAATTGTTTCTATAGTTTACCGTTAACATTGCAAGGGTATTATACGCTGCTAAAATTTATAATGGTCCTCTCCTTAGTTTCTGGAAGCATAGGTTCACAAGGTATTTGAAAAGAATATTTTGTCATGTTTGGTAAAATGCTGTTTCAGATTTTTATCTTTTCCTTTTGCTTTATGTTGTCAAGTTTGTGGATGTAAGTTTCATATTTAGGTCACATAAATATTAGGCATGCCAGCTTATTTCATCATATGATTAAATTAAAGCACCCAAATTCTACCTGGGGGAATAAGTTTAGATTAGATTACGGTATGTTAAATTTGGTTAGGTTGGATTAATTTAGTTTGTGTAAGATTAGATTACATTATGCTTGGTTAGATTAGCTTAGCTTTGGTTAGATTAGATTACATTATATTTGGGTAGACTAGCTTAGCTTTGGTTAGGTTAGGTTTTCTTTTGAATCTAAGGTTTGTTTTCAGAACTGGAGAACAACCCACAGTATACCCCGAAGATGCTTTACGTCCAGCTTTAGTTGCTTGGTTCCACCTTGGACGCCTTTGGTCAAAACTCGTTGCCACCAGTCCACAAACCAAACTACAAAATTTATCGCAGTCTCTTCAGAATTATAAGGTACAGTAAATTTGTTGGCACTTTCCTATTGCTTTTATCATTCTCCTTTTATAGCCTAACTCAATCAAGCCTGGCAAATGGCCCCAGTCAGTTAAAAGGCTTTGTACTTAGATTAGCCATAGCGAAGTTAGAAATGAGAAACTCGTTATTATTAGTAGAATACTGTACTGTATGTCTTACTAATTAATCTGTGCTGAAAATTTTTGTGAGCCTTATAGACAATAGTGATCTTTTGAGAGCTGGGAAGAAACTAGACATGGGTCAATTAGATGGTTACTGTAATTGATTGTGATTACATGCCACATTTTTATTACAAAAAAAGTGTAATGTACATACTAGATTACAATCATGATTACATGACATGAAGTAACTGAGGTAGATTATCTGCACCTGCCTGACAGGTCACTAATCCTGGTAATGTATATAGGTGACAAATGGCTCTTCTAGGTATTTTACCTGGAACCAAGAGTGTGTAACACTGTCATATTAATTATAATAGGAATAAACAAACGTAATCACAAAAGCAGTCTTTATTACGAATATTTTAAATGTAATTGACTAATTTCCCCATGTCTGGAAGAAACATTGTGCACATACTGCTCACAGAAGGGCCTCTTGGGTAATCTTTACAGTCCTGATAAATTTTAAGCACAGTATGTGAGTTTAACATCACCTAGGTTGAAGATGGTTTGACGTTTGTGATTTGCTGTTTATAGGGATCTGAGTTTTTGAAGCATCAAGTTCAATATTGCAAAAAGTACTTCAGATCTTCATACATATAGACAGCCACCCTCCCAACTATAACAGGTTTTATAATCATTATTTAATACAGTATATACAATAACTTGGGTTTATTCTGCAAATATTTCTCTTTTTATTACAGAGACTGGTTGAATACTGTGATAAGAATCCACACTGTCAGTCAATCATGGCTCAAGAACTGGCTGTGTGTCGAGAGATGGTGCAGCTCTTGCCACTCAAGATGGAACAGTTTCGGGCATTAACTAGGTTGTAACGTGAACAAGTCAGCATCAGGTGATGAGAACCAAAAACTTAATTGATCTTATGGGAAACTGATGATCACTAATAGAGAAACATGAATGAATGATGAGAAGTCTATACTGTATTGAGTGTTTGTTATTTGTACGTACCACGTCCAGTTAATCACAAGAATGATGACGGATACAGGAATGGGGAAAAGTAATCATGAACTAATCCTATTTTATTACCTATAGGCTAAGGAATTTGCAGAATACATTAATATCTCCCTTAGCCGGAATCTTTCAAACCCGGAACACTCCTATAGCCGGAATTGAAATTTTCTCACAATATTTTTCTCAAAGCCGTAATTTTCCGGAGAAATCCGGCTTTGTGAAAGATTTTCCGGAGAATTCCGTGGAAATTTTTCCGATACCCAGAAAATTTCGGGGATGGGGGAGTTTTTTCCGGGTTTGAGAGATAAAAATCGGGTGTATTTTCTGGAAATGCCGAGACAAATTTTCCGTTACCCGGAAAATTCCGGGGATGAGGGATATTTTGCCAGGTTAAAGAGATGATGTAATGGGCAATTTCTGGAACTTCGAGAACATTTTTCCGTTACCTGAAAATTTCCGGGATGAGGGATTTTTTCCTGCTTTGAAAGAGCCGTCTCATTACCCAGAAATCTCTCATTCCCAGAAGTGCTCTGCACCATTGTTCTGGCCAACGGGGATATCACTGTACATGGAAATAAGTACAGCATGCCCTTCAAATTTGCGGATTTTTAATTCATGGGCCTCGATTATTATCGGATGACACCCTGGATGTATCCAAGAATGTCTAAGGGTAGTTTTAAAGTTGCTGGCATTTTTGCAGCTGGGACAGGGAGCCATTCGTTCTAGAGACAGTAATTTCCTTTACCTGTATTGTATATATGTGCGTGTGTGTGTGTGTAGACACACACACACAAAACATATAAAAAGTTAATGATGGGAAAATCCTCTTACAAATATCAGAAACAAATGTATTAAGAACGTTGAGTCTACCCTCAAGTCCACTCTGTGCTTTATTAATAACAAAGCACGGAGTGGACTTGAGGGTAGACTTAACATTTTTAATACATTTGTTTCTGATTGTATATATGTATTGTATTGTATATACTGTATATGTGCATGTATGTAGACACATACATATATACAATACAGGTAAAAGAAATAATTGTTCTAAGGGCAAACACATAAAGGGAATATACATTACCTTGTACACAAGTAACCCCCCCCCCCCTCCAGGGTCAGCACATGATATTCACGGATTTGGCAATTCGCAGAAATATTGAAAACCTAACCCCTGCAAATTTGAAGAGCATGCTGTACAGTACATGTCTAACTATATGGATGTGAGTCTGCTCATTGAAAAGAACATTATTGCATAAAGGAATGAAAAGAAGGGCAGCTAAAAGATGGTGGTGGGGGAAATGTTGTCACCAGGTCTTGAAGAGAACTAGAAACTGTTTTGGAGACTATTGAATAGGATTAGAAATGCCAAGAAACAAGTCAGAGTGTTAGTTGAGAATAAAAGGGGGAGTACAGTATGCTGATGTCAATTTAACAGATGAGAAAAAGGTTTAGCTATGTTGTTTATATTTAGATGAATGAAAAGCTGTAAAGTGAAAGAAAAAAAATTATATTGAGGGAGGTTGGGTGGTGTGTGAATAAGTGTGTGGATTTACCATGAAAATGTTAAAGGTAGGAAGAGGAAAAGTGGTTAAGTAGATGATAAAAGCATATATGTTGCGAATGATAAAAAGTAGAGTACCAGTTTAATGACAGATTATGTACAGTTCTCCTGTGTGTGTAAAAAAAAAGAGGTGAAGGCAAGAATACTGAGTGGGAAGCAGGTCTGGTCAAAGGAAATATAAACTGCAAATGGGGAGGCAAATGAGCTGTTGTTTGCAAATGATGCAGTTCTACCCTAGTTGGCGGCTCACAAGAAAAGTTACAGGTTTTAGGCAATGTTGTAAGAGTTTGTACTAAGAAAAAATAATAATAAATATAAAATAATAAAGTGATTGGAATAAGTAGAGAAGAAAGATGAGAGTAAATGAATATCAGTTTGAATGGAGATAAAATAGAGAATGTGAGAGATTCGGATACAAAGGAGTGCGTGTGTCAGCAAATGGAATAGTGAGCAACTGAAATAAAGTAATAGGAGTATCAGAAAACGTATGGAAAGAAAGAATTGTGTTAAAGGAAGCAAATATGGGATGTATAAAGGAATTGTTGGGATGACATTATGTTAGGGAATGTAAGAGGAAGAAGCACATTAGAAGTGACAGACTTGATGTACCCGAGAGCAATGTTTGAGGTGAATATATTGCAGAGAATAAGAAACACTGAAATTTAACTGATATGTGGAAATATATGAAATGTTGGATGAGGCTTGGCTGAATTGGTACCGATATATTGAGAGAATAGGAAGTGAAAGATTGGGGAAAAGGAGTGGATGATAAAAGGAAAGATGGAGATGAGAAGATGGGATGAAGGCAGCCAAGTGTGAATTTTAGGAGATCTTGGCACCGAGGGATTGTGGGATGAAGGTTAGTTAGTGAAAGGTGACTTTTTGCCTTAATTTTGGTTACCCTCCAGAATAGCAAGGGGACTCAGGCCAGCTGTCAGACAACACACATGTCATCTGAACCCCAACACATTAATTCGCCTAGTAAACATAACTATTATAACATAATGGGCTCATACCTAAGACTTCTCCCACTTATAGCCTTTACATAATCACTCAATGAACTAACATTGGCTTATGACATCATGCTAAGGAACACACCCATTGGGGAATCCTCAAAATAGATGTAGCTACACACTCTGAAAGTGGGTGTAAATATTCCCATGACAGTGATAAACATAGTGACAGTTAGTGTTTTAATTGGGTGAGGTGCCTTGGAACTTGAGTCTGACTTGTTTATTGCCTTAGGTACTGGGAGACAATGTCACTTCTTACATATGGTAAACAAACATTAATCACACCAAACCTCTCTAGGTGTCCAGATCTAGTTGACTGACCATGGTCAAGGTGTACAGGTTGGGATGCCATGGTACACTACAACATTTAGTGAGTAATAATTGTGGATTATGTGTGGAGATGTACCTTGTGTGTTGTGTCAAATAGTAAAACCTGAGATTTTTTTAAAGTATGAGGTATTATATCAGAATGCCCTGTTTGTATTCCTTTTATATGGATTACTGGCAAGAGAGTAAGTAAGGTTTAATATGCTGTTTTAAAGTGAAGGTACTTGTGTAGGAGTTGTGTAAAGTGTTATTTCTATATGATGTATTTTGTAAAGAAAGAAAGGTGTTAAGGTAATGGTCTATCCACAAGTTTAGGGAAATTCTCACATCACTGAGATGTGTACAGTATTTGGTTAAAGGAAATTTGGCATATTAAAAATGATGTCTGACTTTTTTCTTTTTTTTTTAAGGTTTTAGTATGACTTATATTCTCATATTTTAGCAGCTAAGATTTGGTGACAGTTGATATCTCAAAATTAGAAAATTGAAGGTGATCTTCACTGTGGTCCACTGCCCTGAGTGTGTCTTCTTCTCAGTCCTAATCTACTTTGTTAGTTTTGTTGACTTATTTAGTCAAGTTGTTCTTCACTTACAATTATTTTGTCAAATTAAAGCAACCAGGTAATTTAATATTTTGCAGTATTATTTGATTATTCAACATTCATAACAAGAAGACTCTTGCAAGATGAAAGAATCAACTTTTGATGAAGCAGGTATTTAAATACCTGGGTGTGTTGCAACAAACATGGCATTTGTGAGGGGAAGGGCAACTAGGCCTGGAGGGATATATGTTATTGTTGGTGGTGATATTGAGGGTTCAAAACACACTATTGTGAAGCTTTAGAAAATAGTTACAATATTACCTGAATACAGACACAGTGTAAGTGGAAACAGAATTTTTTGAAAGAGGTCCTAGTATACAGTACAGGGGGTCCCTGGGTTACAAACAGGTTTTGTTCCCGAGGACGTTCGTGAGTCGGAACACATGCTATATGCATACTGTATTTACAAAACAATGTTTAAACCCACTATATCACAGCCTAAGTCCTTATATACATCTAAAATCACTTAAATAAGTCATGAGGTAAATAAAATACTGTAAAATTCAAGTTTAACCCCGTTCGCATTGGCGGGCAATTGTAAGTTGGACATCGCAAGTCGGGGACCTCCTGTAGTACAATACTGTATCACAATATTGATTGTCATGTGCTGTGTGTGTTTTTAAGGGAAATTTTCTCAGTTTTATGTTCCTAAGTTAAATTAATACAGTAGCGTATTCAGAAAACAATGTGTTAAAGGAATGGATGATAAATTTTACAATTTTAATTATTATATACAGTATAGTAGACTCGCAACTTACTTGGGGGTTACGTTCCTGGGACCCTGCGTAAAGCCAAAAAACTCGTTAAGTCAGAAACACTCCTAAAATTCCCCTGAATTGCCCTTAAATCACTAAACAGTAATCCCGTGTTTTTCGTGGGAATTACGTTCCTGAAACCCCCGCGAAAAGCCAAAACTGCGAATACTCTTTTAGAAATCACTGTACCTGTGGCCACCAAACAGCTCAGGTAGGTCATGCACTTAACCACGCCATGCTCTCCACTCACGGCCCAGTGGTTACACCGATCGCTGATGCACTGCACCGGCATTTACTAACATCATTATTTGAAACTAATCATGTTGTAGTATAATAATGGAAAAACGTAAACACAGTTTATACAAAATTGCCAGCCTCTCCCTGCTGTCCCGGCGTCTGCCCGCCCTCACGCAGTCACGCCAGCCAGCCAGTTCTCTTCCACCCACATTCCTCCACTTGAAGACTTGTATTCTGACAAAAGACACAAATGAATTGTCAGTCTTCACCATATCTTGAGCCATATCTCATTCCACTTCTGGGCTTGTCCAATGAAACTGTTTTTTTCCGTTAAGGTCATCACTATTCTTGATCTCTTGGTCATTTTAGAGTCTTTGCTAGTAATATTTGCCTTTGATGAGGCTGGCTTATGTCCCGGAGCCATGTGAGGACAAACAGAAGATGTAATCACAGTAGCGTTCACAGTATGGTAGGCACGTGTGAACTGAGGCTTCTCGGAGCAACGGCCGTCTGAGGCGGAAAAGGGTGGCGTCTGTTTGCCGCACCACACGGGAATATCGAAAATGGGGCGAGATTTAAATTTTTTTTTAAAGGATATTTTATATATACATTATATACTTTTTGAGTAAAAAAAACCGCAAATGGTCAAAAACGCGATAAAAAACCCGCAAAAAACACAGGATTACTGTATTATACGTACATAAACACTAGAACTCATAAATCACTCCTGTAATGTAATAATAACGATGCAGGGGAGGATGTGGGCAGCTCAAGGTCACTGCGAGGCACTTGTAGACACTGTTTCAAGAATTTCCCTCTCCCGAATCTTGATGGATCTCACGCTTGATACGTTCCGCCTGTACCTCCTTGCCACAGCAGCGATCGACATGCTGCCTTTTATTGAGTTATAACACGACCTTTTTTTTTCCAGGACCATCACAGAGAGTTTTTTCTTTGCTGGAGGACCAGAAGCAGAGGTTGGCTTGTGTTTGGGCATCATGAACGCGTATGAGATAGATTTAAGCGCACTAAATTGACACGCACGAGAGGCAGCTGTTACTCTGATGATACACACGCAGCAGCTGAGACAGACAGAGGTGGCGGGGTGGTGCGTTTGGCTGGCTTGCGACCCATTTTAAAGGTTTTGAGCTTGAAATTTGAAATTGTAACCTAACCCCTGGGGTAATGCTCGTATAGTTGAAACCTCGTAAGAAAAATCCGTGTAAGTTGCGAGTCCACTGTAGTTGCATACAATAATTCAAATGGTGTATTTATTGGAAGTCTTTGGCTCATCCAAACTGACTATGTACCTATGAAAGGTATTAAGATTCATAATAGGTTTTGATATATTGAATGGTATACATTTACTGTATCTATTAAGTAAAAAAAAAACTATTTATTAAATTTCTCTTATTCATCTAGTGAAGATTTATAGACTTCCAGTAATTATACTGTACAATATATATCAGCAGTTGATTTATAGTAGATTTATGATATATATTGAAATTACTGGTAAAATATCTATGATTTCTATGACTTCGAATACAAATGGTAGCCGTTTAAGATAAAAAAAATAAGCTGGTATCTTTCACAGTGTGGACAATCTTAGACGGCTCTTGTAGGGTTTAACTCTTGTTGAAGGGACACTTACCACACAAGGTTAGTGTCAGAGTGTGTGGGAGGACACATGCCCTGGTTCTTCCTCATTTCTCACAACAACTGTATATTATTTGGGGCTTCATTATGACAAATTATATATTGTATAGGGCATTAATGTGATTGAATGCCTAGTTGTGCACACCCACCCACCACAACAATTAATTCTTAGTCCTGCCTGGTCGTAGTAGATGGTGAAATACTCTTAAGATGTTTGGCATGTTGGAGAAAATTAAGGAAAATTGAGTAGCTTGGAAAGTGTATAAGAGGTAAGATGAGAGGAAAGACTTGGATGTGGAGAAGAGAATGAGGATGTGTACTGGTCAGGAGTGTGTAGGACTTGGAGAAACATTTGTGTGGAGGAATTGTATGATAGGGAGAATCTGCTTTGGTTATTATAATTCATAGTAGGAAATGCCTTATTGAGTGAAACAATGTAAATGAAAAATATGGTTTTTAGAAGTACAATATATATGTACTCCATTACAGTATATGAATCTTTTTGTTTGACATTGTCATAGGTTTTAAGTTTTATAGATAAGGTAAATAGATATTTGATTTATAAATTTATTTTTTATCTTTATATCTAAACTGAAAGGGAGCTTATGATACCTACACATTCCTTTAATTACTGTACTGTACAGTATTATAGTTTCATATTTTAGTAGTAGAATATGTTGATAGTATTTTCTTATAAGACACTAAGGTCAGTAGAGGCAGAAGAAACACAAATTTTTCCCCTAGTAATATATTACAGTATAAATACTTTCATAAAATTTTGTACCAGTACTTATATTCACCCAAGACTGAATAGAACAGTGATGTGACATTGGATATAAACAACCGGGAACCCATATGTTTGTGTAGAGGTGAGCCCATAACAGTAAGGAGATATTTTACCCACCTACAGAGACTTTTGTTTAGTCATGTTATTTGAATTATACTAATGAAGGAAAATGCTGATAAAGATGTTTGAGACACTGACCTTACATATTTTAACATGTGTGTATTTTGGAAAACAGTGTAGGGGCCTGAGTGTCCAGACCTTCACCTGTTTGTAGGATACTCTTGCTAGCCCTCTGGTGATATTTTTGTCATGTTGGTGATTCTCAGACCATATTGGTACCTTCAAACAAACATATTTTATTACCTAACATCTTTATTTTTTCTTATAAAGCTGACTTAAGCTTTTTTACCCCATTCCAGATGCCACATGTCCTAACTGTTGGTTGCAGTCATGTAGGTCATTTCATGGGGATGGTGTCAAATATGATAGATGCAATATGTGTAGAACTAAATTTTGTTATTTCCACTTAAAGTTCTTAAACGTATACAGAAATGCATTGGCATTTTGAGTAAATATGGCTTCTGTTTTTGTGCAAATTGAAAATGTTTGTAAATTCTTTTCTAATACAGTACTTTAAAAGTATTTCAGTAGTCCTTAAGTTCATTGTTTTTAGATTTCCTGAAATGGGAAAGATGTCACACACAGTCAACAGTGGATCAGTTGTGTACCGTTTGAATATGTCTTAATATTGCACACACATACGAGTAGACAGTAACAGCACTTGATTTTAAGTGAAATATTCCTTCATACCACTGCTTGTCAGGTACTGTATAGTTAGTCTCTACATAGACTGTAATTGGCTTAGTACGTTGAAAAACATCATTCTCATGTGAAAATCATGAAATTGCTTTAGTATTTGTGCTAGACCATTGGTAATACAGTACTGTACATGGGAGGGATCAGGCATCTGCTGACCATTGGAGGTTAGTATGATGCCCTGTTTTGACTGCAAGCAAAATTTGCATTTGTGCAAGTGATTTATATGCACTAGAGAGAAATATTACTCAACGTTTTAACCTGATGGTGAAAGATTTTGCTGCACAAACAATGTTGCATTATGTGCTCTGAATGTGTTAAGTTGTGCACAAATTAACAGGTGTGACTTCACTGCCTATATTAGCCTTTGCTCTAGATTTTCATATTTAGGTAAACATACTTTCCAGTTTTCTATCACTTTTACATGAACATTAGCTTTGTAGTTAATGTATATGTCTTAAAGAAAATGTCTGATCAATATGAAATATGGTAACTAGATACCTCTGTACTCACCTTTTGGGGTATTAGGAAAATTTCTTTCAAATCAAACCATGATCAGTTTGAAACAAATAAGATGATACAATATCTTCATCAGGTGGTTAGTTTGTGATCTTGGAAGAACTTTCATGAACTTTATAGAGTTACAGTGTAGGTCATATAGAAAATGTGTATAGGGTACATAGAAAACTTACTGTGATCACAAGTTATATATACTGTATGTCTATCACGATGCTCACCATTTTTACTATAAATGTGATTATTTTATGATAAAATTATTCTAAATATGTGGAGTCCAGGTAACAAGTTTATTACATGGATGGTTTATGACCAAATTGTTCAAGGGAGAACTTTGAAAATGGCTAGACTCATGTATATGCCTGCACCAGGTTTCCTGTATACAGTACTGTACCAGGAAGCAACTGTAAAAGAGTTACCTAGTAACAAAAAAATGCACGAGTTTTGTTGGATAAAGATACTGTAATAACACCACAAACATGCCTCAAGTTGACTTTTTCAAATGGAGGCTATTTATAATAACATTCTGAAAGAGGATCCCCACTGCTTTATGTGTTTATATTTGTCTGTTTTTTTGCCAAGTTGTTTATTAAGATCAATTCTCCCTTGAAGTGTTTGTGGTACGTGATGTACAGCACAATTATCCCATGTAATTTTAATTTTTCTGCATATACAATACAGGAGAAAAAAGTACAGTACAGTATTACTAGAATACAGTATTTGTAATTTGAAATATATAACCTTCCTTGTTACATTCCATTGATTAAGTGGTGAAGAAAATTGTGGGATTTGGATTAAATTGTAATAATAATTCCAAGACTTAGATTAATAGATCTTTTACCATACACAATACAGTAGCTGGTTTAATAAGAGGAAGGTGTTTAAACACTCCGGGTCTGATAAATGGTTAACAAAATTTAGTGTAACTTTTGGAGAATAAAAGTTGTTATTGCTGTGAGACCTAAGTAACTGCTCTTTATGGAGAGAATTACAGTACTACTGTACACTGATTGGCAGAAATTCATAGATTGATATTGTACATTACAGTAGTATTTGAGAAATATATAAACAGTATTGAGAGAAAAAGAAGTGTGACCATGGAGGATATTTGAAATGTGAGAAGATAAATTATATTTGAATGGATGCAGATAAATATGTTAATAAGTGATCAGGTGAAAAGAAAATGTGAGGATAGTGGAGTACATAAAGCACACACTATACATTGTGTGATGGGACTTACGTTCTTACCTTCACTCTGCTACACGTACAACAAAAAAACTTCATGAAACTTTTAAAACGAATTTTCTCTCATTCAACAACATTCATTAATACATGTACTGTGTAAATCAGAAGAAAAAAAATAGATAAGACCCTTGAGTACTGTAGAGGAAACCATTTTGTTCAGTATTTAGAGATTGAAAGTGGGTGTGAGTGTAGGAAAGGTTCTTGCTACCATCATGATATCAGAAGGATGTTTGTGTTCCATAATTTCACTTCTTCTCTGGGATGCAGTACAGCGCTGTAGTTGACTGTTGACTCCATGGTTGTATTCATTAGCCTATGGAATCAAAATTGTTAGAAGCTTAGACACAGTAAACCCTTGATATAACTCGGAATGGCAGTAAAATATTCAACTGTAAATTTTTTACAATTAATTTTTACATAACTCGCAATATTCAGAGATATGATGACACACTCTTGGAATGGTGTAACACGTGTGAACCTTGCGGGATGCATGGGAGGCTCTACCCTGTCAGCTGCTCAGTTACGCATCGGTAGGCCTAGTGAGAGGGTACCCACGGTCAGTCATTCCACTTATTTTCACATATTTTGTGCAAAGTGCTATTCCACCCACAGTGATATGGCTTCTGCACCATCACCAAAGCCTAGTAGGGGGGGGGGGGGAATTATCCTCATCCTTCACCTACTGTACAGTGCGAGTAAGTGTTAATTCTTATGCAATTTTTCTGGTTATGGTAGGTTAATTTGGCCAAAAAGTTGGATGTTGGGGTGGGATGAAAGACCAGGAGGAAAGGGCCTTGTTAACTCAGAATGGTTAGTGCCCCGCATATTCTGAGTTATCAAGGGTTTACTGCAGTTGGCATTTCTTTGTGTGTATGTGATGGGACCAGAGGTACTGTTATTGTTTGAAGAACTGAAAGTCAGGATTAGTTTAGCTTGATACATTTTTCACTGATGGAATATTCCTTTACTTCTGCTAAAATATTGATAACTTGAATTTTTTCATCTTTACTCTGCATATTAGGTATCTCCCATGAGCTGTTACAATGTTTATATGTCACTTTATGAATTGTTTTATATTTAGTCATACAGTATTATTTATACAGGGAAATTCAGCAAAAAGTACATTAAATAGGAGGATGAAGTCCTTGGATAATTCTAAACCACAATGTCTCTATGGTAAAATGTCAGATTCTGCATAGTTTCCATGTTACAATACATTTAAGATGTTGTATTAATGAGAGTGAATTTGAAGTGAAACCCCCTTAGGTTTTTGTAATCATTTATTCACAGATCTCTACAGTGTGACCCCTCTGTTACAACCTAAAGGAAATGTTCAAAGTTGCCCCCTTCTGCCTCAATGCAGGCCTGTACACGTCATACCATTGATTATCTGACGCATTCCAGAATGCCTGGACTACAGGGTATGTTTAATTTGCTCGTACCTGTCACGAACACGTGGGCATATGCAGAATCTAACATTTTATCAAAGACATTGTGGTTTAGAATTATCCAGGGATTTCATCCTCCAATTTAATGTACTCTTTGCTCAATCACCCTGTGTGTGTATATATATATACTGTACTTACTGTATATATGTATATATATATATATATATATATATATATATATATATATATATATATATATATATATATATATATATATATATATATATATATATATATATATATATATATATATATATATATATATATTGTTGATAATGATACCTTGTTTGTTACCTCCAATGTGTCTGAGTCCATTTGTAATACAGTAATAACATTGTGTGTACTGCACGGTACCACTTTTAGTTCACACACTTTTATTAGTAAACTTCTTGGAAAGGTAAAGAGATTAAATCAAGTGATGGGAGTTACTGATGTTAGATTGCAGGCTTATATGTCTGGATGGTAAATTGGTTGTTATGACGTACAGTGTATAAATTGTGTAAAAATGTATATTAACACAAAAACATTTTGCATTATTGGTCAGCAGTCATCCATGTTCCTCAGATTAGTTGACATTTCAATAATCTTTCATAATACCAGATAACATATGAAGTCATTCCTCTTCCCCTCATCAGCAAATGACTTACAGTATTTGTAATTCATTCTCACTTCTCAATGAGAGTCATCTCAAATGCTTGTTCATGTAGCAAATAAATTACAGTATCAGTAAATGAATGTTTATTTACTTGCATTACACGTACTGTAGTCATATCAGTATATTTTGTGTTATATACATTATAGAAATTTATGGTTCATTAGCCATCTATGCACTGTGTTAGATATTGTTCTCAAGTACAGTACCGGTCTTTAAATTTTTTTATTTCTTACAAGATCTCGTGAGCATATAGATTTTCTCTATCCAGTGAGGGCTGGTAAAGAAATAAGGTAATGGAAGTGAGTATTGTACTGTAGCTACACTGTATCGGCATACAGTATCACCGACAAGTATGGAATAATTCTATGTACTGTTTCAGTATGTCAAATCCTTGAGCATGGTCATTTAATGTGTTAAAGAGACTAATGTAATAATAGATTCCCCCAAAAGAATCAGTTTTAATTAGCTGTATTCTCTGTCTTGAGTTAGGAGAGTGTTACCAGTGTCTGCTTTGTTAAGGTTTAAGTGAATTATTTCAAGGTTAAGGTATCATTGAGTTGAGTCCTATTACCTAGATCTAGTCATGATGTGACCCCTGAATGTCTTGTAACCAAAGATTAATATAATGTGCATAATTAGTAAGATTTTTATGCATCCTTTCAGTTAAAATTATTTATGAAGACTGCTGAAAATTTCTTAACTCAATTTTTCCAAAAGAAAGTTATAGCAACAATCCAACAGATCATTTTCAAACATAATCTTTATATAACATGTTCCTTTCTTCTTCAAAGATCCAGGCAAAGATTCTGAAAGATTTATACTTTAAATTTAGTTCCTCTAACTAGGGCTAAGGAATTTTTATCCCATTTAGGCTACCAGTTTTTTGCATTACAGCCTCTAGAAATTGGTTAGATGTGCTTACATATTCCTGTTTAATCCCCCCCCCCCCTCACACACACCAC